TCATTTCTGCTACCTGGGAGTGGTACTCTAATCCATTATTATTGGCTCTGCCCTTTGGCCTCTTGGCTTTGACTTTCTGAAAAGTCTTTCTTTTCCATAAAAAAAATAGTCCATATTTGCAACTGAACACTTTTCTCACCCTGCTTCATGCCCACTGAAATTTGGTGGCTCAGAAGTCTCTTTTCATTTTGATACAAATTCCTTAAAATTTTATGGACTTTCTGTTGCTAAGAAAATTCAATGGAGAAAGAACTGTCTTTTCAACAGATTATGCTGGTAAAACTGGATACCCGTATGTCAAAGAATGATGGTGGATCCCTTCTTCACACCATACACAAAAATTAACTCAAAGTGGATCATAGACTTAAATGTAAGAGATAAAACCGTAAAGTGGAAGGACAGAATCGAAGAAAATATTTGTAAATCATAGATAAGGGACTAGAATCCAGAAAATATAAAGAATTCTTATAACTCAACAATAAAAAGAGAAATAATCCCACCTAAAAGTCCTTAAAAAAGGATTTGGTGGACATTTGCGGAAAGAAAATATGCAAATGGCCAATAAGCATGTGAAAAGATGCTCAACAACATTATTTATCAGAGAAATGCAAATCAAAACCACTATGAGATATTACCTCATATTTCCTATCATTTGTCAAAAGAAAAATAATAACAAGTATTAGCAAGGATGTGGAGAAATTGGAACTGCTGGTGGAAATGTCAAGTGGTGCAGCTGCTTTGGAAAACAGTCTGCCTTTTCTCAAAAAATTAAACAGTTACTGTTGAATATATAGTCCAACAATTCCACTCCTAGGCATATACCCAAGATAAATGGAAATATATGTCTATGCCAAAACTTGTATATAAACCTCCATGGTAGCATTATTCATGATAGCCAAAAAGTGGAATCAGCCCAAATGTGCATCAGCTGATGAACAGATAAACAAAATGTGGCAGATTCATACAGTGAAATGCTGATACATGCTACAACAGGGATGAACCGTGAAAACCTCATGCTAATTAAAAGAAACCAGACACAAAAGACCATAAATTGTATTAGTCCACGTGCATCAAATGTCCAGAATAGGCAAATCCAGAGAACCGAAAGCAGATTAGTGGTTGCCAGTGGTGAACAGAAAATGACTGCTAGTAGATATGGAATTTCTACTGGGGTGAGGAAAATGTTATGCAATTAGACAGTGGTGATGATTACACAACTTTGTGGATATACTAAAACCTGTTAGATTATACACCCTAAAGGGTGAATTCCATAATATGTAAATTACATCTCCAATAAAAATAAAATGTGTGGGCTCTCTATGTATCAAGTTATAGTCTAGTCTATTAGATGAAAACCACACCCACAATTCTTTTCAGGACAGGTCCTCTTTACTTTGGGTGTCAGATTGCCATGGGGCAACACCCTGAAGATTCTTAAAAGCCCTTTTGCCTTGCTACGAGAGTTTACTTTAAATATTTCTAAGGTCTTAATAAAGAATTATATTGCTAGACCTTTGGTTTGATCTTTTTCTTGAGGCTATTACTTACTTGGAGAATATTTTGCCATTAGAGATACTAGAAGCGGGAAAACATTTCATTTTCCAATCCAGAATGTTCTAAGCCCTCTGTATCTCCTCAAAATGCTGCTAGAAAACTGAACAGTCCCTCCTCTTGTTCATCTATCTTGTCCTGCACCTTATTGTATTCAGCCAAATAAACAAACAAATGGCTCATTGACACTTCTAGCATTCTGTCTGGAAATAACCTTAACTAGATCCATGAGTTCATTTGGTACAAATTCTCTTTTCCAGGTTATGTAGGCAACAATTTTGCCAAATGTACCATCACTATATAACGGAGCTGAGCTAGTCCAGCCCTGTGGCTCCCTCTTTCTCTAAAAAAGAGTCCTTATAAAGAGTGGGAGCTTTAGGCATTATTCCCAGCACTGGGAAATAACTCCTCAGAACATCTGATATCTAAGCTCAGCCTATATTCTCCCTCCCACATGAGGTCCCGCTCATACTTATCGTATATATAGACAGAACAACTGGTCAGCAGGGTTCCTCTCCTGGAACACAGCCCAAAGTATGTACAGCTGAACCTCAGTTCAGCCTGCCTTTTCTTCCATGACTTTTAGTCTATTCCAAAAATTGACCTGAAGTCTTTGGGCCTTTTAGATCTCTCCTTTGTACCTGCTTTCAAATTTATCTGAAATATCTTGTCACTTTTTACTTTGAAATATTTTTTATGGGAAGTTCACAAAAGGTATGAAGTAGGAGCACTGCATGGAAGTTTAGTTAAAGTAGTATCCGAGTATGGAAAGCGTGCAGGTATAGGGAAGGCTTGTAACTCCCCTTCTCCAGAAGCCCAAATAAGGGAGGCTGCAGCCCAAACCTCTGACCCTGTGGGAGTCTAGGCCCTGACGTGGATAATGGGGAGATCAGCTTTGGAATTCCAGGAAGGCATCTAGAAATTTAGAAATTAATTTCTTTGACCAATTAAATTTACTGAAAAAGCGGCCAACATATTTTTAAAAATGTTCACCCTCACTATTTTCAGCCATCAGAAAAGGAAACGGGGACTCTGCTGGTGGGTGTACAAACTGATCTCTCAGAAAGGCGATTTGGAAAAATTTACCAAAAATCACAAATTCCACTCCGAAAAACTTATACTAAGGAATAATCAGTGATGTACCAGGAATATTCATTAAAGTTTTATTTTTAGTAAGGAAAAATTGAACTCATATGTCCAACAATGAGGGACTGATTTAACAAATTGTGGTTCATTTGTACCATGCAGTTATTAAAATGATGATATATGATATAAAAATCATTTTATATCATATATCATTAAGTTAAATCACATTGTTAAGTGAAAAGCAGGCTATAAATTAATATACATATACACACACATCACACATATAAACACACGTACAACAAACATACACACACATATGACACCAATTCTGAAAATATTTTAAACATAATGTTTAAAAATATTAACAGTGGTTACCTATAGACAGAAACAATGTTAGAATTTTTTTCCACGCTTTTTTGCATTTTCCAGATTTTCTGCCATGGGAAAAGGTATTTTTTTTTCTGGGAGTCTGTACTTAGTCATTTTCACTGTGTCTTATTTTCATAAGTTTTGCTCTTTCTTCATTTTTGATCCCAAATAAACATGAATAGCTCAACAGTGGTGGCTCTAGGGCAGGGGTAAGGGAACATGGCTAACTGTGTGAATTTTCTTGCCAATATTTTCTAAATCAGGGGCCGTCCAATAAATCATGCTATTGGAACACATGAGAAAAACCACTGGCAATGTCTTACTTAAGACTTATTAATTTAAATAGGCCTAACAACAAAGACATTTACCAAGAAGTAAAGAAATATCTTTTTCTATTTATTGGAATAATTAAATAACCAAGAGTAAAATTTGTAAACATATATAAAATATTAAAAAATTAAAATATAGTAAAACTATAAAATAAGTATACAATTATAAATACATTAACTGAGCAACCTCAAAACTATATAAATATAGGATATTTATGAAATTCTTTAGAGATGTAACATCTATTCTTTGAATAAAGTTTGAAATTTGTTTGTAATTTTCAAACTATGGAAGGAAAAAGTAAATAGCTCTGTCCAATTTATAATTATCCAAAGAGAATGATTTTGTGCTATTTCTTGCTTGTCTTTTCTAATACCCATTCAATCACCTAGGGAGAGAAAAAAATATGATTATGGTACATTTCTATTGGAAACACAAGTGATAGAAAAAGATATTGTTAAAATTTCAAAAGAGTATGGTAGAAAATTTAAAGCAAAAAATAACCTGTCAAAATCTTAAAATATATATTATCTTGAAAATACATTTTACTAGCAGTTACCAGTGGGGACAGGGAAAGGGGAAGGGGCAATATAGGAGTATGAGATTAAGAAGTACAAACTATTATGTATAAAATAAGCTACAAGGATAATATTGTACAACACAGGGAATAGAGCCAAGATTTTATAATAACTATAAATGGAGTATAACCTTTAAAAATTGTGAATCACTATATTGTACACCTGTAACTTACATAATATTATACATCAACTATACTTCTATTAAAAAAAAAACTAAGGAAATGATTATCACACACACAAAAAAATCAGTAGAGCGGTTACCTCCAGAGGTGATGCAGTGGGATATGGTGGGGAAGGGATTCTTTGGCGGTTTCCAAGGTCCCCACAATATTTTATTTCCCAGGTTGCACAGTGAGTGATCCCAAGGATATTCTCTTTTAAAATTATGTTTTTAAATTGTATGTGTTAGGGAGGGTGGGAGGGAGGGAGACGCAAGAGGGAAGAGATATGGGAACACATGTATATGTATAACTGATTCACTTTGTTATGAAGCAGAAACTAACACACCATTGTAAAGCAATTATACCCCAATAAAGATGTTAAAAAAATAAATAAATAAAAATAAATTGTATGTGTTTCTTTGCATATGTGTATACATATTACATGTTAGATCATGAATTTTTAAATGGAAAAAAAAACCCACATTTTATTTTCTTGCACAAGAACACTTTTTGCTGAACTTCCGCTGCGGAATACAGTAGTGTTCTCACTGGACAAGATGAAGCTTCTACTCTATTTTCCCACCTTTATTTGAAAAATGTACTTTCAAAGCATCACTAAAAAGAAATTAACTAAACTTTGAAAATAGCTAATAGAAATGGATTAATTTTTCCAGCTCTTTGGATTTTTTTTTTTCTGTTTCTTAACATCATTTTAGAAGCTCTTTTGTTAACAGAGAAATCTCTTAAATACTACTAAAGATTCTGCTTGCATAAGTCTATTATTAACTATTTTAAAGAGTGGTCATAGGGACAAAGTTGAAAAGACCACTCACTAATTCTTACTGCATATATTACAGCATCATAGGTACTAACCTGCAATAAAATAGCAATTTAATTGAATGTCGTTTCTTGGGAATAATTTATTTACCTGTACAACATTGTTGCTTGCTGTTTTCTTCATTTCTTCAAATAGACCCCTTGAAGTTTTAAGATCCTAAACATAATAAAATACAGCAGCTTAAATCTGCACATTAAATTACAGAGAACAAGTCATTATTAAAAACTTGAGATGATCCTAATTCTGTAAGTATCAACATGAAGAGGGAGATACTACAAAAAAATCAAAGTAACAGATTATAATTTAGTTCCTGTCAAAGTACTCTAACCAAAATACATCCATATATACATAAATCCATGCCACTCTAATCTCAAATACTCAATGGCACTGACCAAACCTAAGCCCCATCCTCAACATGAGTAGCCACATTAACTTCATTACTCAGGAAATGAATATACAGTTCATATTTATTTTTCAGATAAAATAACTTTTTTTCTCTCTCTTCTTTTTGGCTATTTCATTCCACCACAAAGAGGGAATGACATAGGAAATAAAACTGAAATCTCTGACTTGTAAAAAGGTAATGACTATATCAAATTATATTATAAAAATTTTAAAATCCAATTGTATTTAAAAAAAAAAGTAATCCTCCGCTGCACTTCCAAGCTATGTTCCATTGAAGTGGTCACTTTGAATTCTTTAAGCTCTTTCTCTTATTTATACCTTCATGTTACTAAATAATAAGCTTATACTTTATTTCGTGATTTAACAGTTCTAGACAGTGATTGCTGTTATCCCAGATTCAGGTCTCTGAATCCTCCCACCTCCCTTCTCTTCCTCTCAGTAACAGCTGCACCACAAATTTTTGATTAGTAAATAGTCAATGTTTGCATTTTATACCTAAGCAAATATAGTTCAATCCTGAGCTAAGTAATGTATAACGGTTATAATTTCTCTTTCATCTGTTTTGTTTATCCTGTAGTTGAACTACGTTTGCTTAGTTTTCCACGTGTATAATCCTACCCCCACCCCACAATGCTGTGAAAGACTGATTAAATGTACAGCAAAGTTCTTCAAACACTCAGGGATCCTGGATAATCTCTCACTTCAGCTTTTCGTTTTTGCTTTTGTTTTCTTAATTGTATTTTTTTAAACTGGAGATCCTTCTCCCATAGCCTGCTCCAATTTGGTCCAATTGCTCCCTCAGCCTGGTCCCATTGGGACTTATCTTCCCCAGTCTAGGTTAGTTTTTCTTTTATTTCTTGATTCAGTCCCTTGTTCTATTGAATTTCATCTTCTCACAGATTTGTCAAAAGGGTAAAAAAATGACAGAATTTTTCAGACCTTCCATGACTGAAAGTATCTGTACTGAATTTTCATACCTGACTGACTTCTAGACCAGGTATAAAATACTAGGTAAATCACTTTCCTTCAGAATTTGAAGATACTGTTCTACCTTCTTCTGGCACACAGAAAAATCCAATGCCACTCTTATTGATTCTTTGTATGTAAACTACTTTCTCTCCTGGGAAGCTTTTAGGAAATATTCTCTCTGTCCCAGGAGATGTGACATTCCACAGTGATGTGGCTTGTAGAACTGTCATCCACTAGGCTGGACAAGCTGTGTGCCCTTTCCAGCAGGAGGAGTGCGTCCTTCAGGTCTAGAAAACATTCTGTTATATTTTTGAGTTTTCTCTCCTCTAGTCTCTATTTTTGAAACTCCTATTATTAGCATATTGGATCTTTTGGATTAATTCCCCCATTTTCTTATCCTGTGTTTAATGATTTTATCCTTAATTTTGTCATTAATACTAATTTCTGGTAAATTTCTTAATCTCAACTGTTCAGCCTTTCTATTGTACTGATTTTATCATATTTCTAATTTTAAGGAGCTTTCATGTTCTATAGTTTTTGGAAACAGCATCCCATTCCGGTTTTGTGCACCCAATTATCTTCTCTCTGAGACAATATAGGTTTTTTTTTTTTTTTTTTTTTTGCATTACGCGGGCCTCTCACTGTTGTGGCCTCTCCCGTTGCGGAGCACAGGCTCCGGACGCGCAGGCTCAGCGGCCATGGCTCACGGGCCCAGCCGCTCTGCGGCATGTGGGATCTTCCCAGACCGGGGCACGAACCCGTGTCCCCTGCATCGGCAGGCGGACTCTCAACCACTGCGCCACCAGGGAAGCCCGACAATATAGTTTTTTATGAAGTTTTCTTCAGCTTTCTGCTCCTTCATAGTTCCCTTTGTTCCTTCATGTTTTGGCATCTGCTGTATTAGAAGATTTTCTCAAAAGTATGCTAACTCTTGGCTGTCCAGTCATATTTTAAAATGAGATAGTAAAAATCTTACTGGAAGCTCTGTCTGTACAGAGCTTGTTCATTGGTATCTTTACAAGGTAGGGGAATAAGGGGCCAGCTGGACTTTTTACCGTGGCCTCCAATTCTTTTTTCTCCAGAGACTATTTCCTGCATTGTCGCAGGGGTGGGGTGGGGGGTGGTGAGGATAAAACTATGTATAATATACTTATCTGTAGTTAACATTGCGGGGGAAAAGCGTGCAGAGCAAACTGAAGGCTCCCCAGTTCACTCTGTAGATCTCTATTTAACTCCTCTTTTTTTTCACCCGGCACCTTGCCCCTGCTTTCCATGATACTTGGTGTCTCCAAGACCTGAGCAGGTCAGAGACCATGTCTGTTGAACTGGCTTGCCTCTCACAGGTGTCCCCAGGCAGACATTTAGGCTGTCACTTCTTCTACTCTGTTATACCATGCTTCCATGTGTTTTTTTTGGTTCAACAACGTATGAAAACATTTCTACATTTCTCCTTTCCTCTTTTCTTAGTTTTTGTACTTTCAATACTGTCTTTCTTGAGAGATTTTAGAAAGGAAGGGAATCGAATGCATGCGGTCCATCTGCAGTTTTAATCAGGAACCCATATAAAATTGTGATTCAAGTCAGAAACTCTGAAAACTGGAACTAATCTAACACCATCTAAGTTTTTTTTTTTTTTTTTCACCATCTAAGTTTTACAAAATTGTCATCTGAATGGCCGATCTGTCCAATGTCTTACAACAAGAAGATAATGGATCCAAAATTAGAAGCTGGGTGCTTCGATACTCCCTTCAGTAGTTTCACTATATACTAAAATTACTTGAATAAGTTGAATAAAGTAAGTGGAAGCTTATTATCAACTTAAGTCAAAGGCTTGTTAGGGAAACACTGAGGATACCAGTTAAAGTGTAGTTTTCTACATCTAAGAACTAAAATCAAATAAATCAAATATAAACTTTTTGACTCCAATTTTTCTACCTCCATTAAAAAAAATTGGCAATAAGCTATCAGTGTAAAAAATACTCAGTCAATATTATCTTGTGTCAAATAGGAACATTAGAACTTGACCTCGATTTTGCCATCAGTAGAGAAGACACTGTACCTTTAGATAGAACTTCGAGATCTCAAAGAGACGTTGGCTGCAAGCCGTGAAACATTCGTGAGCCTCAGTAATCCTGTGTTTCTTCAGGGTTTCAGTAACTACTTCTTTCAATATCTTGAACAGAACATAGTATACAACTAATATGTCTTGGAAAAGGTACAAACATATTATTTCAGCTTTAGAGTTAAGTTCTGTGAATCACAGAACCATGTAGCTATGCTAAAGATAGATAAGCTCATTAAGACAAAAGCATCTAGAAGAAAGGAGATCTGAAACAGTGACACGATCACACGTGTCGCAGGCTATCTGTCAGGAAGAGAGGACTAGAGTGTCTGAAGAGAGGAATTCATATCCTGAGTTCTGAATCAAAATCTAAGTGTAAAAGGTACACACAGCAGGGATATACAGGTGTGTACTTATTTTTTATTATGGAAAATGTCAAACACTGTGAAGAGAATATTTGTAACAAATCCTCATCTCGATATATCTACTACCAGTTTCAAGAAGGATCAATTTGTGGCTCTTTCTGTTTCACTTATACGCCCCCACTCACTTTTCCATTATCCTTCTTGCACTGAATTTTTTTTTTCCTCCATTTTTTTGGCCATACCGCACAGCTTGCAGGATCTCAGTTCCTGGACCAGGGATTGAAGCCGGGCAAGGCAGTGAAAGCCCAGAATCCTAACCACTAGGCCACCAGGGAACTCCCCTGAATTATTTTAAAGTAAATTAAGGATACCATTTCATTTCATTCATAAAATTTTTAGACAAACGTTTAAAACGAATCAAATGAAGAAATTTCTTCCCGTGCAGAACTAAGAGAGTCAGGAAGTAAATCTTTACCCGTGTGTGTTTCTGTGATCTTGATTCCTTACTGGGCCTTGATGTTTTTGATTCAGGCACACTTTTTTGACCTGAACTGGCATTTGTAGTGACTTTGGGAGTTTCATTGCTAAGAACTGGAAGAGATGGACAAGTCACAGGTAATGATCTCTCTGCCCGTGGCTTCCTGGATGTCACTGCATGATGATGATGATTAGTAATGCCACTTCTCTGAGAAAGAAGAGAATCTGAACTTTCAGATTTCACAAGTCTAATGGGGGGGAAAATATAAAAATGCAGATTAAGTGAATCAACAATGAAGTCCATTTTCTGTCTTAAATGTTACAACCATAACCATTGACATATAAACCCAAGAAAAGCAAACACAATTTCTTGCTACTACTGCCTTAAATAAGCAGTCAACATCATATTATACAGTTGCTCCCTTAGTTCTTCAAATGAGTGACTAGAACACAGAAGGCAATGAATAACATTCTAGGATTTCAGCTAGTATTAAAAGCTAATAGGAAAAACTAGCAACATTACTGTCACCCTCCCCGTTAATTTACAATTTCTCACAGAAATCAGGGATGGCACTCCAGGCCATGCTATTTATAGATCCAGTACTCATCTGCCAACTACTTATACTTTTCTATTAAGATAATTTTGATGAAGAAACCATAATAATCATGCTTGTTGTAGCTATGCAACTACCTGAGCAAAATAAATAACAGTGTTAAAACAAACAGAAATAAAACTATAAAAGTAGCTCTTGTTTCAATCTTTCTAGAATGTTTAAATTTCCTGTTACAAGATAGGGTCTCATATTTTTCAATTCTGTTAACCTAGAGGCCACAGTGTACTTTCTTGTCTGGAACACATATCTATCAGTCACAGTCAGAAATAAAAAATATTATTACAAAATACAGTATCCTAAATGTTAATGGATTTGCTTTTTAGCTTTATCGCATGTAAATAGTACCATGAACTTGTAAAGTCCTCATGAAAATAATTTAGTTATTCCCCATCAGGGAAAAAGTATTCTAATAATTTTCACTGTTTAAAAGAAGATTTGAAAGTTTCACTTTAAGATATTTGATACTTTTTGAAAGATTTACATATAATAAGAATTTAAGGTTTGTTTTAGGTGTCAAAGACCTAAATTTGACAAAGGTTCTAAAGATATATAAATTCAATAGAAATTAGAGTGTTTATCTCATAAGCTTCTAATTTCTGTTCAGGTATTTGGATATTTTATTTAGCTAGCAAATAAATTAGCTAGAAAGATCTCATTTTTCATATATTATTATGTAGGCTTTAAAGCTGTATTTTATATGAAACAAGTTGTTTTAAAACGGTACCTCATGGGAACTTCCTGGTGGTCCAGTGGTTAGGACTCCTCGCTTTCACTGCCATAGCCCAGGTTCAATCAAAAATGGTACCTCATGAAACCCCTTGTTTAAGGGGCCAGTGTAGGTAGGAAACAGTGAGAAGAGAGCTAACAGAAAAACTGTATCCCTAAACATCCCCTTCAACAGAGCAGCTCAGCTGCTTAATCTATTGGATAAGATCGCCAGTGTTCCATGGCTTAAAAGCTTTACAACCCATTGTGCTGATGGGCTGTACATTAGCATATAAAGCAAGAAACAATGTGTTTTTTCCAAGTCATTTCTTTGTATAACTTATAAGCATAATCATCAACTGCTCACAATACAAACAAAATTCCTGGTATGAATGAGTTACATTAAAATCTGCACAGAAAGCAGCTTAAAAATCTGAAAGATTAATTCAATTACCCTCGGACTAAAATACTTTCTGTCAAGATACTATCTTTATGTACTTAATATACCACCTTTTGGGGGGATAAAGGCAGTTCAGATCTTTTGATCTCCTTTTTCCTCGGGAGACTTCAGTCCGGAGTTCACTTTGTAAAGCTTCTCCATCAGGGACACTTCCGGGCTCTGACAAAACTGCTGGAGACGGAAGAGGGCTCAGTACGGTAGGTACTGGAAAACTTTCTCTGGTGCATGTAGTTTGAGTTTCATAACGAATAAGACGAGACTGAAGTTCTGAAAATCCCCCATCTCTTTCTAATGCTTTTCGGTCATCCAAGCAATATCTAAACAAGAGAAAGATCTTTAAAATCAAAGACTCCAAGGCAGCCATGGGCTTTTCCCTGCCAATTAGGGAAAAGCAAAACATGTGCTTAAAAAGTTCTTACTAAACTTCCTAATAATTGTTGGAAGGTTGAGTGAACGGCCAACTTCCCTCACAAGTTCAGTTTTTTCCAGCCTGCTACACAACATGGCAAAAGATTAAAAAAATTTGAAGTACAATCTGATTCCTCTTTGACTGTTTCTGGGCAACAGATTAAGTTAATCCTCTGGCTTATTTTCAAAATAATACAGTTGCTGTTTTGATACTTTTTAAATCTCTACCAACCTCTGATACTTCAGCATGGCTGATATGTAATGACGTGAAATGCTAACTTCTGTTAGAAAGAACAAGTTTATTTTCAACACAAAGATTAACAGGGTATAAAGGCATTCTAAACTGGCTCACCAAACACAGCTCAGAACATTTTGAAATTTCCCTTTGAAACTCACTTCCACCTTACTGACTGATTGACAAATTTTCCTTCAAACACTTCAGCTGTGTGTGCATTTGGTTTCTAGCTAAATCTGATTTAACAACAATGAGATGTTTGCTCAGTGATTTAACATCAATGAGATGTTTGCTCAGTGAATGCTTCTGGACTTAAAGAAATCCCATCTTAGGGACTTCCCTGGTGGTCCAGTAGTAAAGAATCCGCCTTACAATGCAGGGGATGCAGGTTCTATCCCTGGTAAGGGAACTAAGATCCCACATGCTGCAGGGCAACTAAGCCCGCGAGCCACAACTATTGAGCTCGCACCTCAACTAGAGAGCCCGCGTGTCGCAAACTACAGAGCCCACGCACCCTAGAGCCTGCACGCAGCAACTAGGGAGAAGGCCGTGCGCCGCAACGAAGAGCCTGCACTGCAAGGGAAGATCCCGCGTGCCTCAATGGAGATCCCACGTGCCACAACTAAGACCTAACGCAGCCAAAAAATAAATTAAAATAATAAATAAATAAATGCTTTGATAAGGCTTAAAAAAACAAAGAAATCCCATGTTGTTAAGTACAACAAATAAGCGTATCAAGAAAATCACCAATGAGATGTGTGACCTTGGAATACCCTTCACATTCTCCCCTTCTACATCAAGGAAACAGTTTCACATATACGATGACAGGACTTTAAACATTAAAACCTTTTTCTGTTATCTGTCCTCTTTACTTGTAAGATTCTAAGAAGTTCCTTAGAGTCAGAACTTTGGGTCTATAAGCTTTTAGTTCAACACTCAAGGAGTGTATCATTACCCCAACCTGATTGCCTGACAGAGGTTTTCTCTTTCTCTTGTGATACATATTTGATTTCTAAGAGTACAGACTAGAGAGCCAGACTCCCTGGATTTAAATCCAGCTCTACCACCGTGTGAACATGGCCAAACTACTTAATTTTATCTATGCTACTGCTGCCTCTTCTGCAAGATGAGATTCGTAGCAGTTATCTCAAAGAGCTATGGTGAGGATCATGAATGGTACACGTACGCACTCAGAAACAGTGCCTGGAACATGCAAGCAAAGCTGTCAATAAATGTATGCTGCTGCTCTTATCATCACCATCATCATCATCAGTGGTTTCATTTTCTACCACAGCAAATCTTATGCTATGCTGCTGATATGTAGCTCAGCCAGGATTCAGACCCAGGTTGGTGACTTCAGAGTCTGACTTTAACCAATTTAGTATGCTATCTCTCACGTAAAGTGTAAGGGTCATCTTACTTAGGGGTCAACCCACGGCTGAACATTAGAATCATCTGAAGAGTTTTTATGAAATACTGATGCCCAGAGTTTCTGATTTAATTGGTCTGGGGTTGGAATCAGTCTTGGACATTTTTTTAGAAAGCTACCTAGGTGATTCTAAAGTGCAGCTAGGACTGAAAAATCTCTGATATAAACCAACAGTTTAATTTAACAGGTGGGAAAAATGAGCTCCTAAGTTATACTGTTAACTGGTGGCAGAAGAGTGACTAGAACCTAGGTCTCTCAATTCTCTAACATTCTTTCTCTAGTCTGTTGTTTAATAAAACACATTTCATTAAAAATCAGCCCCAACCCTAAGGATTACTGATGAGTCCTATTTCTATCCTGGGCGATTGACAGAATCTAGAAAACCACTAAGAACCATGAATGTTAAGGAAAAGTTCTAGGAGAGAGGAAATGTAATTCCTGATTGGCTTACAGGAAATTTTTCAGAGAAAAATAATGCATAGTTTGACTCCACATGCATACTTTTTTCTACTCTAAGATTTTGATTCTAAGATGCAGATTTTTTCCTTCCAGTTTTAACATCTCTTAATCACAGCTGTTCATAATGTCATGCCTCCAACTGAATTATGTGCACTGTGCATATTGACTTCAATTGTCATTTAAAATGTCTTCAAAGTGATTTTACTATGATTTGGCATCAAAACAAAAAGTGACTTTGTAAATAAGAAAGGAACAGAAACAGAGTAGCAGGGTGCGTATGTGATAATAGTGAAGAAAAATATTCACTGTTGGATGAATGAGTAAACGTCCACATTTTCTTGCAGAACAATAACCAAATGCTTTATGTGTCCAAAGAAAGAAAAATACCTATCAGAAGATGAAGCTATCATTGTCCTGTAACTACAAAATAGGCAAGATACTGCCTAGCACACACCAAGCAATGCCGATGAAAGCCGGAAAAACTGCCAAATCTCTTGGAATACATGAAAGAAAGTTCAGAGCAACAGGAGGCTGGTGTGGCCAACTGACTCTCAGTTTGACAGTGGAATTCAATTTGTTGTTAAAGAAAATGGTGCATCTTACAATCAATGGTATCTTACACTCCAGGATAGGAGAGAGAAGTGAAAAACAAGTCAACTGTGGATAGATTTCATTTTGGCTTAAGTAAACATTGATCTGTACTTGAGCAGTTTATATATTTCTTCCAAATATTTCTCATGTTTGAGTAGAGGAAAAGCTCAAGGATTCCAAAGGCTCATGGCAATGTAAGAAGAGAGAACTTTCTTTGCAGTGTCATATTTACTTTGAAATTTCACTTGAACTTTGGTTTGAGTAGAAACATAATCTACATTTAATGTGAATAGGCCCTCACACTATAAACCCAAATCCTGAAAAAAAGCATGTTTCTGGACTCACTGTGCTCACCTCCTGCAACTTTCTTAGTTTGACCTCAATGGCCCCAGATTAAATTTACAGCAAGGAAAATGGAGTCACAAATTTGTTTATTCGCTTATAAGGGCAGGCAACTTTCACTTTTTAAAGTCCTCAAATTCTAATTTCAACTGTTTTTTTTCATACTCAGACAGACAGAAGTTCAATGTTGTTGCATGTATACATACATTGTTCCTTGTTATTATTGAGTAGTACTGCTTTAATACCAGTTAATTTATCTATTCTCCCATTGATGTACACCTAAGGCTATTTCCAGGTTGTGGGTATTATGAATAAAACTGCTCTGTGGGTTCTTTTACCAGTCTTTTTGTGGTGTTAGGTTTTCATTTCTCTTAGGAAAATGACTATTAGAAATGCTGAGCCAGGGAGTCTGAGTACGTTCAGTTTTATAAGAACCTGCCACATCCTTTTCTGAAGTAGATAAATCACGTTACACTTCCACCAAAAATGTTCCAGGGTTCTGATTGTTCCATACGCTTGTCAACACTCATCGGTCTTCTATTTTAACCATTCTGGTGGCTGCACAGTATTTTATTTTATGGATGCACTATAATTTATTTAACCAACCTCCTACAGTTAGACATTATTTCCAATGTTTCTTATTTTAAATAACACTGTGAAAAATACCCTTGCCTAATAACTTTCAATGTAAACGCTAATTTTATCATTAAGTGAAGTTAATCAATCTGATATTATAAACAACTGCATGGCTTTTGGTAGATTACCAAGCAGCCCCCCAGACAGGTTGTAACAATTTATATTCCAAGCTGGCTTATTCATGTCCCTTTACCTCCACCATGATTTTATGGGTGAAAAGGATTCTCACTGTTGTTTCAATTTACATTCTTAATGTAAATTTAAAAAGCTGACTGGTGAAGAAAACAACTCTTCACGTGTATTGGCCATATTTATTTCCTGTTTCAAAAACAAATGGTTTAAGATGTTGCAAACTCTTCCATAGGGGCCTTTATCTCATTTTCTTATTGATTTGTAAGCATTACGAAGAAAATTTACCTTCTCATTTATGTTCAAAAAATATTTTCCTCAGTTTAATCCACACTTTTAATCTTGTTTCTGTTGATAACTGACATTACTGTTTTAAAAATTAGGACAAATCTATCACTCTTTTTTGATTTCTTCCTCTGCTAGAACGGATTTTCCCCTACATTTTATGCTAGTTCTTTACTTTCACAGTTTTCCCACTTTTAATTCTTAATACATCTGCGATTTATTTTGATATTCGGCGTGAACAAAGAATCATTTCAAACAGATTTATTTTTATTTGAATACTTAATTAACATTCTCACTACTATCTACGGAACAGTTTTCTTTTGCCCTCTGATTTGAAATTCTTTTTCTATCAGATCAAATTATCATGTATTCTTGCTTTTTCCTTGGAATTTCTACTTAGGTCCAGCCCCACGCTGTAATTACAATAGCTTTATAATAAAATTTTCTAGTAATATGATACAATTTGTCTCATTCTTTAAACAAGAGAGAGGAGACTTCTTACCAGATAAATTATAGAATTATTTCATCAAAAGGTTCAAAATTGACAAGAACTGTATTAAATGTTTGCATTGATGTCAGGAGAATTAACACCTTTATAACACAGGATCTTCCCACAGAGAAACAAGGCATGCTTCCCCTAAGTAATCAACATTGCTTTTATGTCCCCTAATACATATTATTTGTAAATTTTTCCATTCTACATTTCTTACAAGAATACTTCTGATATTTATGATTTTATCTGCTATTTTGAATGGGATCATTTTCATCCTGTTAAAAACTGGACATGGCTAGTTTAAAGGAAAACTTGTGTCTTTTATATGTATTTTATAACTGGCTACCTTACCAAATTCTACTACTTGTAAGTCTTTCAGGTCTCTTCTCTGCAAAATAAAAAGCTAATACAAAAAAACCTTTTGGTATCCGTTTTACTACATGTAACTCTTTTAAACTCTTTAGTTTTTCTTATTTTAACTGATTGGCTAGAACATATAGAAAAATGATTAAAAAGAAAAAATTGGTCAGAGCAGGTATCTTTTTCTTGCCCCTGACTTTAACGGAGAGTTTAATTTTGATGCTCAAAAATAACCAAAAATTTTTGCTTCTAGTATCAAATTTGACATAACTTTACATATTCTTTAAATAAAATAAATCTTATTTAAGCATAACAAGAAACCTAACCATTCCTAGAATGACCTGTTGTCACTAAGGTCTTGAAAATTTAACCTAAAATACATTATCTCTATCATTCCATTTCTTGTCCTGGTGAAAATGGTAGATGTGCACATGACCTCCGGAACTCCTAATACCTCTAAGCAAAAGAATCCTTGGAAATTTCATTCATCTGGTCAATTAGAATTCCATAAAAATGTACACATAATTAACATGTTGCAAATGAGAATGCATTTTATCTAACAGTTTCTGAGCAATTACAATGACCAGGGAATATTAATGTGACCAGTAGTATAAATACACATTTACAATGTAGGGACTAAAATAATTTTGACTAAAATATCTAGTAACTAATAATAGGATGTTTAAATGTAAAACTGATTAATCATCAAATAACTTTTTTCCAACAGAAGACAAATTATTTGTGTACGTACTGCTTAGTTTTTTGAGGTTTTTTTGACATACTTTCTCTTTGCTCCTCTGTCCCAATTTATATCATTTTATTACAGTCACTCTTCACACTCACCTAAGATAAGCTACATCAACAACACACAGAAGAGTAAAGTGAAAATAAAAAACTCACTCAATTCCATGATAATGACATACTGAAGCTTTTTCAAAAGGTAAACCCTGAAGTTTCCGAGGACTAAGTTCTGGCGTCAGGACAAAAGTCTTTTCCCTGAAACAAAAAGTTTTTCATTTGTATTTAAAGTTTATTTAGTGATGAAGAGAAAGTTCCAGAAACTGTCTAAAGAAGGAAATCTGACTTCCTTCTCTATAACTGGATCTCATATGGGACAAAGAAGGAAATGAAGTGAGGTTAAGCCTATGGGTTTTGTCACTTACATTTTCTGTGTCCCAAGTTTCGGAAGTTACCATGCTACTTGCTTCACAAAACTATTCTGAGAAATGGTTAAATCAAGAATAGAAAATGGTTTCTAGTGGAAGTTCAAGAAACAGCATTATTCCTGAAGAATATTTTTTTCTTGGTGTCGGAAAATGTTTATGAATTTAGCTAAATTCTTTTTTCTAGGGGAATAAAGTCAAACTCCAATCTTTAGTGACAAAAGAAGTATTTACTTCCTCCTATAACCACATGGGGAATGCAGATTTTTCTTTGCCTGGGAATGAAGTCATTTTGACACCTACTTTAAGAATCAGTGACCTTTTAAATATCAGAGGATAAAAAGACGAACTGCTGATTTCAGTTCTTCTTCTGAAGTAAGTTTCCAATCAGCAGTTATGTTGGAACTAATCATGTGGTGAGCTTACATAAAATATTCATGTTCTACCCCTCCACACCTAGACCTGCAGGGGTACATCAAAATCTCAGGAAGAAGCCTGCTGTAATTAGGTTAAACTCTCCTAGTTGTTCTAATAAGTGCTCTCCTTCTCTTCCTGAGTTGGGAGGTACTGTTCTAATGAACTGAATCATGTTCCTAGAGTTCAGAACAGGTTAGATGGGAATGGGAGAATTATACAAGTGGTCTTTACACAGTTAAGAGGCAGAATGAAATACCAGGGGCTTGAATTCAGAAGACTTAGAAATGGTATACATAAAAACAAGTAGATAGTAGAGTACCATGAATAAATTGGCTATCACATTTTCCCCCCTTGGCTTTAGTAATGAAAACTGCCCATATGCCACTGAAAATTAAAAATTATCTCTGAGTACTAAGATAAGCGCTTGAAATTATTACATTAAAATGTAAGACATATGCAAGTTAATGAATCCCAAAAACCAGAATTTATATTCAATGCATCCATTTAAACAGTTCTGAATAAATAACATGAATAAATTGCAATGATCCCAGTATTTTGATGACTAATTATTAAAGTGAATAATTTTGTAATATAGAACTATTTAGGTACCTAGCATTTCACTTCTTTCCTTTGCCATGTTGTCTTCCATTTCTTATTTTAATCTCTCTAAGCAGCTCTATCTATTTTTGTTTAATTTTACTCACACCTTGTTCTTTCTAAAGGTAACACTGTAATACATATGTATTTTGTCAATGTTTAATATTCCTCTGGTGTATATATAGGAGTCACTCCTGTACTTTGTTTAACTTAGTATTGCATTTCGGTGGTTCCTTGCATGGGTAGACATTTAATAAAAGTCTGCAGGTCCTTGATTCATTACCATGAAAGCTCATCCTTCAACTTTAATTTTAATAGAAGATATATTTGATAATGACACAGTTCTTTACTAACATCAAGGAATTATAGCAAACTTCCCTAAATAAATCACTGGTAAACTACAGAAAGAATTAATAGCATCTCCCCTAGACATTGCAGCCAGAAAGACATTCTGGTCAAAAAGAGTACAACCTACATAATCAGTTTTGGCAAACCCATCTGACTCTGCCAGTTCACGCTTAATGATTTGGAAGGACAGTAATCCAATAACTAAACAGATGAAAATGTGTACATAGTTCTTCCCTTTCTTGACTCCCACGAAAAAGACTATCAATCTCTCAAAGCTATGAGAAAAAGAAAATTACTCTAAAATCACACTATTTTTATGTCATTAAGATCATTAAGTCATTAAGACTCCAAATTATTAAGATCCTCGTGTTTTCACAGTTGCTCCCCGTCTCTCTCTCTTTAGTGAACACACACATGAAGGCAATATGCTCTAACATTACTTTTGAGAGCTAACTATTTTCAAATAAATCCTTTCCAAAATTAACCCTTAAATTCGATATTTGCCAAAACGAGCTTTGAAAAAGTAATCAAAATGTTCTATAATTCTTAAGGTCCTTTGGAAGGTTCTCAGAATAATGGAATAGAAAAAAGAAATTGGGGTAGTGAACAAATTATTCAAATCTCACAAGTGTATGATGCCATAATTTTATCTGTAATTAAGTAAACTTCAGTAATATCCAGAATTAATTAGTAACTTAGTGGAAGTTTTCTTGGAAGTCAAATTAGTTGTAAATTATTCATGTAGACACTGAGTTCTTCCTTGGTAATGGTATAGCTTTGAAAGCATTTTTATTACACTTCCCCAATCTCTTCAGTTGAAAGGCTGTCCTTTTTGCTATGAGACATAACTGACAGTGTCACGGTAAGTAGTGGCAAAATCAAAACTAGAGAGTGATACAGAAAAGAGAATTTTTAAAAATATTTGCAAGTCAAATTACAATTTTTTCTTAAAAAGTATTGCCATCTGTATACAAAGTAGAAGCTGATTTCTAAGAGAAATATGCTGAGGTTGCTTTTATTATTCCTGTTTCCCTTATAGTCAATACTACAAAACAGTAGGACATTTGGCTAAGGTAAAATGTGAGGATTAAGGCCAATTGATAAATGCTGGGCTCAAACTTGTAGAATTTGTCAAAGTGTCACAGAGCATTAGTTAACTGGAGAAATGAGATGCAATGTGTTTTTTAAATGATTGCTTAAAAATTAGTTGAAATTGTAAGTTTATAACTTACCCTTTCTGAATCTGTAAAGGTTGAAGATCTCCTATTGGTAATCCATCTGAGGTAAAGAATTTCAGCAATTCTTTAGCATCCAATAATGTGACTGAATCCCGTGGACTCTCTTTGTGGCCCAGTAACTGTTCAGATGAACGAGGTAATGAACCAGTTCTGAGAAAAAAATGTTATGTAGATTTATTAAAAGTGGATTAGGGCTTCCCTGGTGGCGCAGTGGTTGAGAGTCCGCCTGCCGATGCAGGGGACACGGGTTCGTGCCCCGGTCCGGGAAGATCCCACATGCCGCGGGGCGGCTGGGCCCGTGAGCCATGGCCGCTGAGCCTGCGCGTCCGGAGCCTGTGCTCCGAAACGGGAGAGACCACAACAGTGAGAGGCCCGCGCACAGCAAAAAAAAAAAAAAAAAAAGTGGATTAGAATTCACCATGGTCAGGAAAAGCTGCTATGAGCAGAAACCAGAAAAATACACACAAAAAAATTGAAGATCTACACATTTAAGAAAGAAAATAAAGTCATTGCAAATCACTTAGTATCAAAGTATATTTTTAAAAATCTGTAGGTCACAGTAAAACTTGCAGTTACCATATCAACAATGCTACTACTTAACTAAAATAAACATAATTATATTTTCTCTTTTTTTTTTTTTTGCGGTACGCGGGCCTCTCACTATTGTGGCCTCTCCCGTTGCGGAGCACAGGCTCCGGATGCGCAGGCCCAGCGGCCATGGCTCACGGGCCCAGCTACTCCGCAGCATGTGGGATCTTCCCGGACCGGGGCGCAAACCCGTGTCCCCTGCATCGGCAGGCGGACTCTCAACCACTGCGCCACCAGGGAAGCCCCATAATTATATTCTTTATAAATGATGATTAATTATTTAGTAGTGCAAAGTCATCAATTCTATAAAATTTAAATCTAAACTCTCTTGTATGTTCCAAAACCTCACAATACTGTAAATTTTGAGGGCAGAAACTGAATGTTGCAATTATCTATGAACTTGAAAGATTACTTGAAGCACACCATGAAATGAGATGGTAATCCGAAATTTCTCCAAGGTCTCTTCTAGCCATGATTATGGCATTTTGAATAAGCACTGAATCATTATACCTGAAATATATGCAGGACTTTATACTTTTCAAACTACTTTACATACAATATATTCTTACTACAAATTTCCTTGAAAAAAGATTGGTCTTATCTCAAAATGAAATTAACACCTGAAAATAAGAACTTTGTAAAATTCTTATCATACTAAGCCTAAAAAAGAATCATTGTTCCTACTTTTCATATAAAGACACTAACACACAATAGTGCCTTACAGACCCAGGGTGACAAGCTATTTAAAATGACAGAGTCAGGGCTTCCCTGGTGGCGCAGTGGTTGAGAGTCTGCCTGCCGATGCAGGGTACATGGGTTCGTGCCCCAGTCCGGGAAGATCCCACATGCCGCGGAGCGGCTGGGCCCGTGAGCCATGGCCGCTGAGCCTGCGCGTCCGGAGCCTGTGCTCCGCAGCGGGAGAGGCCACAACAGTGAGAGGCCCGCGTACAATCAATCAATCAATCAATCAATAAACAGACAGAGTCAGAACTAGACTGATTCTGAATTAGATACTAGTTCTATTCTATAACTCTATGAACCCAAAAAGTTCCAGAAAGTTTTAAAAACGGTAAAGAGGAAAATAGTTTCAGAGAATGCTAAAGGTTTTATCAAGCACTGAGTCACAGATCATGACATTACTCTGTCACCAAAGCAAAAATAAAATCTTTCAATACCTACACAGAACATTAATTTCCTGACTTTATATTAATTCAACTATTTCCTGATTATTTAATCACTCAAATCAAGCATTTTTACTGATAATTTTATGATTAAAATGTTGACATTATGGCTTTAGACATATTTCTAAACATGACAGTGCCTCTTTCCTCTTCCTATTCCCTTATTTATTTATTTATTTATTTATTTATTATTCATTCTTGGCTGCACTGGGTCTTTGTTGCTGTGCGTGGGTTTTCTCCAGTTGCAGTGAGTGGGGGCTACTCTTCGTTGCAGTTCACGGGCTTCCCATTGCAGTGGCTTCTCTTGTTGTGGAGCACGGGCTCTAGGCGCATGGGCTTCAGTAGTGGCACACGGGCTCAGTAGTTGTGGCTTGCAGGCTTTAGAGCGCAGGCTCAGTAGTTGTGGCGCACAGGTTTAGCTGCTCCATGGCATGTGGGATCTTCCCAGACCAGGGCTGGAACCCGTGTCCCTTGCATTGGCAAGTGGACTCCCAATGACTGTGCAACCAGGGAAGCCCTCCCTTTATTTTTAAATTGAAAATATAAATCTAATAAAAATAGTCAAACACTTAAATATTTTCTCTGAACTTTATACTCCAGGAGGGCAGGAACTACATTATGAGTTTAATTTAATTTCTGTGTGGCCATTCTTTAATAGTGACTCACAAAATCTTAATGAATATTACTCTCAATCATTTTATAAGCCAGTTGCAATGGGGAAATGTATACTTTGCATTTACATAGAACCCAGGACACAAGAATATCAGAGCAATTTAAAAGCCCAGTTTGTGATGAATTATACTATCAAGATATGTCTTAGGTTAAAAACAAAACAAAAATTACTGACAACACTTTGTTTATTGTTTTCAAGCTTACAAAGTATTTTTTCATACATTATCTCATTAAATTTTCACAACTTTGGAGTAGAACTGGGATTGTTATCCCCAGCTTAAAGATGAGGCAACAAAGTCACACAACAGGTGACTGAGTTTGTCTAAAACCAAATTCTTATGACTTTTAAATTTCACTATGTAATGGTCCTGTATTCCAGCTGAACCTGCTTTAACACAAAACAAATTATGAAAATATATGACATAACTTTTGTCCCCAGCCAAGAATTTGATGGTATCTTCCCATATTTTGAAGTGTCCACAAATATTGATTGAGCATTTACTCTGCAATTATCATTGTAAGGTACTGAAAAAAGAGTTCACTGATGATAATTTACAGACTCATAATCACGGCTCTCAACTGTGTAGAGGTATGACTTGAAGTAGGAGAAAGAAGGTGAGGAGAGTGAAAAGAGATAAATACACCAATGTAGAATGAGGTAGAAAAGGTACAATAAAATAAGTTCCATGGAAGAAGTAATAACACAGTTTTTTAACTGCATCATTTATAAAAGTCTTAAGAGAAAGGTGCTATTTGAGCTAGACTTAAATGACAAGCAAGCTTCTTCTAGTTCAAGATGGTGGATTAAACATACACATTAACCTTTCCACTCAAACAAATAAAAATCGAAGTACTGGGCACTAAGTCTATAAAAGGATTGAAAAAAGGAAGAAGGAAAAACAGTGGACCAAAGAGTTCAATGAATTTCAGGAATAAACTAGAACAAGAGCCTCAACAAGAATTAGAGAGAAACCTACAAAAAAGGTAGAACATGTCTTCTTTTTTCCACCCCACAAAGCCACAGAGGGACTCTAAACTTGAGCTTGGAGTGGCAACGGGCAGAAATCAGGTGACATATTTTCAGAACTCTACTAGAACTCTTGTTCTAGTACGACCCTCCCACACCAATCTTATCCCCATGCTTTTACCTCCAAGTCAAAAACCGAAACTATGAAATCCAGAACTATGTGCCTGTCCTACTGTTGGTGGTGGAGCCCCCAGAATATAGCCCCATTATTTTAGTTATGGGTAAAGGACCAAGGCTACCTGCCTTTTGATACCCCCAGGGGCCCTATATCTCCCCTCCCCCAACATTAATTCAGGTGTGAGCAGGTAGGGAACAGAACTACACATATAGAGAGAAAATGTATGCAACTACCAATATAACATAGCCTAGTACTAAATTCTTAGCTATGAAGAATCAAGGGCCACCAGACACTAAAGAACTACACCTAAGAGAAAAACACCAGAGGAGCAAATAAAACAGATCGAAAGGATCATTTAAGGAACAGATAAAACAAGTTAAAAGAAAACTCCAATTAATATCCTTATAGTATCTTCTCAATTCTCATTATTAAAAGAACAGGTAGCTATGAAAAAAATAGGGTAGATAACAAAAAAGAATTATTAGGAATTTTAAAAATGGCTGCCAAATATTTAATAGAAACGATGAAAGTGAAGGTCAAGGAAATACCCTAGAATGTAGAGCAGAAAAGATGAAGAGATGGATTATTGAGAGAAGAATCAAATTTGAATGAAAAATCAATCCAGGACATCTAAAATTAGTTAAAACAGATATTACAGAGAAGAGAGAAGAAAAAAGAAAACAGAAGGAAGACTACTATTAAAGAAATAATAGAAAAACATCTCCCGGAGCCGTAAGGCATTGGTGGTTCAATGGTAGAATTCTCGCTTCACCCAGAGCTGAAAAAAAGACAAAAGGCTTGAGACCAGAATAGTTCACACCATGATGGCCTCATGTAATTTCAGAACATTATGGAAAATAGAAAATTCTAAAAGTCCCAGACAGGGTAAAATACCTATTAAGGAACAAAAATCCATGTTGCATCAGACTTCTCATTAAGATACAAGATCCAAGAAAATGCAGTTCTAATCTAGAAATGTATTCAAAAGAAATACCAGGATAACAGTTGTGCAGGTAGAAAGGGTCAGTCCAAATCAGAGTAGCAAGTCAGAGAGGTGCAAGAAAAATGACTTCAAGAAAAAAAAAAAATTGCCTATTGCAAATAACATAAGGTGCCAGAGAAGGAAGAAGGATAAATGGTGAAGAGAAGTAGAGATGTTAATTTCCTCCCCTTTCACAATGGGAAGTTAAAATATACAATCTAAAATTCACGGGTGGGCTTTCCTGGTGGTGCAGTGGTTAAGAATCTGCCTGCCAATGCAGGGGACACAGGTTCAAGGCCTGGTCCCAGAAGAGCCCACATGTCACGGAGCTACTAAGCCCGTGCGCCACAACTACTGAGCCTGTGCTCTGGAGCCCACGAGCCACAACTACTGAGCCCGTGCGCTACAACTACTGAGCTTGTGCCCTAGAACCCACATGCCGCGACTACTGAAGCCCCTGCACCCAGAGCGTGTGCTCTGCATCAAGAGAAGCCACGACTATGAGAAGCCCGTGCACCACAGTGAAGAGTAGCCCCCGCTCACCACAACTAGAGAAAGCCCGCACACAGCAACAAAGACCCAATACAAACAAAAATAAAAACAAATAAATAGACATTTAGAAAAAAATAAATAATCACGGGCAAGAAATGCAAGTTCTTTTACGGGTAACCTGTCCTTTTCTCAACCTTCTTTCTAGATTGTCATTTCCCTCCTGACCTATAAATGTTAGAAACCTTCAAGGAATGGTCTTAAGCCCTCTTTCCTTTTTCTACATCGTCTCACCAAGTGATCTCATGCACTAGCATGTATTTAGAAAAACCCTTTTAATGACAACTGCAAACTGACTTCCAGATTTCTCCTCTGATCCACCTAACATGTCCACTTGCATAAGCCATAGAGCAAACTTAGCATCCTTAAAGCAGAACTCTTGATTTTTCTCCCCAAATCTGTCCTTACTCCAACTTCTCTCCAATCTTCCCCAAACCATAAGTGAGAACACCACTCACATGCTGTTCAAGCCAGAAATCTAAACTGTCTTGGATGCCTCTCTTTCCCTGTCCTCCACATCCAGTCCATCACAGGAAGGTTTTTTCCCCAGCTAATAAGCACCAAAATATATCCCAAACTTGTTCTCCACTACTACTCTAGTTAGAAATCAAAGTTATCTCTCAGCCTACAGAAAAAGCCACCCAACTGATCTGTCTGTTCCTAGTATCTTCCTCCTACAATCTATTCGCCACGAAAGAGTAAAAGTTATTTTGCAAAATCAGATCACGTCACTCTTTGGTATAAAATCCATCAAAAGTTTACCAATGCACTTACAATATAATCCAGAGTCTGTATGAAAACCTATAAGGTCCTGTGTGACTGAATGTGCTTCACCCATTTATCCATTAGGTCTCAGCTCCAATGTAACCTCCTCAGGGAGCCATCCCTGACCATCCACCTCATCTCTCCACGCCCACAGCAAGTAAAATTACTCTCCTTCAGTCCCTTTGTTTCAGTCATTACACATAGAGTAATTTATAAGTATTACATTTACTTGTCTGGTTACTCCTCTAAGAGGAGAGCCTGACACGTAGTTGGTACTCAATAAATCTGTTGACATCTATGAACAAAATGTTGTTATAGCAAGTCACAAATATTATAGCAAGTCATAAATGTTATCAGCAGAGGATCTAAAGATAAAAATGTGATTTGGGGGAAGTGAGTTGGAGGAGGGCAATGCAAGAGAGCCAAATCCCTTCTCTTTATTCCATTATTCTACCACTCAACAATTATGTACTGAGTGCCGACTATGTATTGAACCAAAAACAAAACAAAAATAAACTCTGCCTCTTAGAGATAGTTAATAGATACTATACAAACATAAAAATGTAAAACAGGAAGAGTTTAAAATAGCTCAAAGAAGAAGAGTACTCTTTCTTCATTTTACATGTTCCTGTATTGTTTAAATTTTTCTTTCATATTCATATACCTGTGTATATCTATAGAAGATGGTCTGGAAAGACATCCACTAAAATGTTAACTGTGATTATGTACACCTAGAAAGTACAAGTAGAAGGTAGTAGAAAAAGAGCATTTCGTGGACACACTACTCTGTAGTGCTCTATCTATCTATCTATGGATTTATAGTAAGCATATATTTCTTTTATAATAAAACCATAAACTACTAATATCTCATAAATACAAGGATTAAGATTTAAAAAGTCATTAAAAAATACTGAGCTATTTAAATATTACCTCATTTTTTGTTTAGCTTTTTCAAAAGTTTCCAAGTTTTGAAGAACATGCCTTTCTGGCCACTCCAGAGGATTGGTTTCCACTAGACTTGAAGAAATACGTTCCACTGGATTAGAATCTGAAGAGAAATATGTAAGTACTGAAAGGTGTTAACATACTGAATTTTGCTATATAAAAATGTATGTAGATACATACATACATTGTGTGTGTGTGCACATGTGCATGTGTATAAAGGCAAATTCGATTAATTGTACAGTACTTACCTCGGGCATTTATTAAGGATATCTCTGATGGCCTGAACTGTGCAAAATACCATAGAAAAGTTTTTTGGAAATGAAAAAAAAAATCAGTATTAAGCTTTATTTTACTATCTCCTCATAATAAAAGTTATGAGCTAGAATTCAGAAGATAAATTAGCACTGTAAAAACTCATATGGAATGAAAGCATAACTTTGTTATTTTTGTGAAATTAGTTTTAAATGGAAAGGAGACAACTCTGTGGAGAATATACTGGATATATTATGTGATTTCCATACTACAAAGAGGAATTATCACCAGTATCCTGAGAAATTCATATCTTTAAAAGAGATTATCGGACTTCCCTTGTGGCGCAGTGGTTAAGAATACGCCTGCCAATGCAGGGAACACAGGTTCGAGCCCTGGTCCAGGAAGATCCCACATGCTGCAGAGCAACTAAGCCTGTGAGCCACAACTACTGAGCCTGCGCTCTAGAGCCCGTGCGCCACAACTACGGAGCCTGTGCTCTTGAGCCCGCGAGCCACAACTACTAAGCCCGCGTGCCACAACTACTGAAGCCCGTGTGCCTAGAGACTGTGCTCCGCAACAAGAGAAGCCACTGCAATGAGAAGCCCACGCACCGCAACGAAGAGTAGCCCCCGCTCGCTGCAACTAGAGAAAGCCTGCGCACAGCAACGAAAATCAAAAGCGCCCAAAAATAAATAAATAAATAAATTTATATTAAAAAAAAGTGAGAATCATTAAAAAAAAAAAAGAGAGATTACCTCATTCTCAAAAGTACAGTAATACCATAAATAACTTACGATGTTTGCAGGTAAAGGTTACTTTAGAAATAATTCTCACTATGTATTAGTGTAAGATGCCTTAACACACATTTTCAAGTAAATCGCTAACGTTAAATACTATTCTACCACTAATAAAATATTATATGTAAGGGTGTGCTTATCTTTCCAGCCAGTATGCTTCAATGAACTAACACTGAGATTGTTGATAACACTGCAATTCTCATCAAAAACATACAGGGACACCTTCCATTCTCATTATAAATTATGAGTACATCCCAATTGTTTTAACACTGGCAAAATAACTAACTGTACTACATTTTGGATTCAAAAACTATCTGGTGTTTTAAATTGTTTGAACTATTACACACTAATAAACTGACTGAAAATTACTGGACATTAGCTATTTGACTAACCATCAACCCTGACAAAAACACCCATTTTATAGTTTGGGGTCTTACAAAGTGATAATGATTTGGTAAGAAATTTTTCAACAAAAAAGAAAAAAATTAATCATAAATGAAAACAGAAGCCAACTGCATAGTATTTTTCCTTTACTTATTAAACTATTTAGTCAAATAGCTTAAAATATTTTTAATGCCTATACTGGACTGCCCCAACCAAAGACCATCCAAATATAGCACTTCCCATTTTTTAATAAGGGTGGTGAAATACTATTTTATAGAATAATGAGCTTTATGATGAAATAATCTACTTTATAATGTTGGCATGGCTTTTCGAAAAAAGTATAGAGAAAAAAATCATTAGCAGTTCTGAACAGTTACAGGCTGTGTTCACAAAGAATACAAGCCATTTTAAATAAAAGTTAACATTAATTATTCCTAAATATTACAATATAATTAATTATTAACTTTGACTATACAATCTACATAAATATAAGTGACACAGGCTAAATATTAAGGAATGGATAGGCAAACATTCATATGTATCATGTCTTTTGGGGAATAACTTAATTCTTACAATAAAATGAAATACAATATTTTATTTATGTGGCAAGCAGGACACGGAGCCATGCTGACAATCAAAAAGGAGCCTCTGAGAAACCAAATACGCTGCTTCATTTTATTTATTTATTTTTAAAAAATATCTATTTATTTGGCTGTACTGGGTCTTAGTTGCAGCATGCGGGATCTTTATTTGCAGCATGCAAACTCTTAGTTGTTGCATGTGGGATCTAGATCCCTGACCTGGAATCGAATCCAGGCCCCGTGCATTGGGAGCACAGAGTCTTAGCCACTGGACCACTGGGGAAGCCCTACCACTTCATTTTAAAACAGTGTTTTAGGGGCTTCCCTGGTGGCGCAGTGGTTGAGAACCTGCCTGCCAATGCAGGAGACGCGGGTTCGTGCCCGGGTCCGGGAGGATCCCACGTGCCGCGGAGCGGCTGGGCACGTGAGCCATGGCCGCTGGGCTTGCGCGTCCGGAGTCTGTGCTCCGCAACGGGAGAAGCCACAGCAGTGAGAGGCCCGCGTACCACAAAAAAAAAAGTGCTTTACTTTACAGGAGAAACAAAGAAATGGAAGTGATACAAAAGGTAAGTAAGGACTCAAAACTGCCCTACAGGGCTTCCCTGGTGGCTCAGTGGTTGAGAGTCCGCCTGCCGATGCAGGGGACACGGGTTCGTGCCCTGGTCCGGGAAGATCCCACGTGCCGGGGAGCAGCTGGGCCCGTGAGCCATGGCCGCTGAGCCTGCGCGTCCGGAGCCTGTGCTCCGCAACGGGAGAGGCCACAACAGTGAGAGGCCCGCGTACCACAAAAAACAAACAAACAAACAAACAAAAACTGCCCTACAAAATCATAAATCACAGCTAACAAAAAGGAAAGTAATATTTCAGATAACAATATGTGGCTAATGAATACAGGCCATGATAGCCTTACATTTCAAAATATGAATGAATCACCAAAAAAAGGTTATAATTGGTAGATTGTGTTTATTAATAGGGCAAGAATTATAAACATACACGAGAAGATTCTTATTAAAGTATTTGAAATCAGAAAATTGTGATCTTATAGCATTATCCAGAAAAGTCATTTATGCAGTGTTTATGTGCCCCAACAGTCCCAGGTAAAGGACACTGTTTTTTGAGTTCAGATATCACATTTGGCATTATGAAAGTCTTTAGCAAGTTATGGCAATGAGTAAATAAAATGGTATGTCTATACTCTCATTTGTTACACATGCTAGAGTTTTCACAAAAAAAAGAAAAAAAAAACGGATCAATAACCCTAACAATTCCTAATAACTCCTAGTGTGCATGGTTGCAAATAATGGGTCAGAATATGAAATATAATTGACCTTGCTGCTTCTTTTGCTGTAATTTGCATGTAGGTGTACAGTTGACCCTCTGTATCCACGAGTTCCGCATCCACAGATTCAAGCAACCATAGATAAAAAATATTTGGGCGAAAAAAAATTCCAGAAAGTTCCAAAAAGCAAAAGTTGAATTTGGTGTTTGCTGGCAACTATTTACATGGCATTGACATTGTATTTATAACTATTTACATTGTATTAGGTATTATAAGTAATCTAGAGATGATTTAAAAGACAGGAGTAAGGTACAGAGCTGGGATTCAGCCTTGTTAGTATTGCTCCAGAGCCCATGCTATAACCAAGAAGCCATGCTCTCTCACTTACTGAACATATCTTGCACTTACAAGTAACCTTATACTGTCTCCAACATCTTTCAGATTACTACGCACTATTTAACTTTGGTACTGATATTAACAATAGTGATAATGAAAATACAAACAACAGGTAACAATTTTTTGGCACTGATTGTGTTCTAAGTGTTTTACATGTATCAACTCAGTTAATCCTCATAATAACCCTAGTAACTGGGTAATATTATCATCCCCATTTGAAACATGAGGAAACAGAGATATGGAGAGATTAAATAACCTGCCCAAAGACATACGGCTAACAAGTGACAAAGCTGAGATTTAAACCCTGGCAGTCTATCTCCAGAAGCCTGGGCCCTTAAATGTGGCACTAGATGCTGTATTTATATTTTGTTTTCCAAACAGATCATAAGCCTGTAGAAAGCCAAGGACCCAAATTTTTACTTCTTTGTGTGCCTTCATGGCATCAAACAGAGAAAAGGCACTCAACAAACATTATTATTAACTTGATTCTTTGGTCATTTTCTTATTAATGTACGAATAAAAATGATTCTCACAGAATAAAAACAAAAAAATTATCCTGTACTTTTAAAATGCCAGGCAATCTTCAAATGCTTCTTTGTTAGATCTTGAAAAGCTTCACTCTATTCAAATTCATCACAAGAATGGAAACCAGGAAAACAGAAAGAAATGCAAGTTAATATAGAAATTATTTCCTGCTCCCTCAGTAGAAGCTTGGTACTGTTCCTGCTATAATAAATGGCAAATGTGGAGCATCTTATTATATGTACTTTTAACTATATTAAATTTACTGAGTAGGTTCTACTTTTTTTATCTTATGAAAACATAGCTTAATGGAAATCCATCCATTCTAGTAGCTTAGTAACAGTTTTAAGGGGAATCACCTTAAAGTGTTTCTCCCTCTGCTCAGAAACAATTATATTGAACATGCTTCAAGAAAGAAATTATCAGAGAATTTCTACTGTTTAAATGATGAAAAATACAGCTTATTATATATACATACATACTTGTATATACAAGTATATATCACTATTAAAATTTATGATAGATTTTTATTTGATTGATATATTTTATTAGTTTTAATAATAAATAACCATCATAAATGCTACACACAAAAAAGAACTAATGTTTAAAGTAACAGAAAACTTACCATTTAACCTATTGGAGGTGTTGTCTGTCTTTATTAGACTTGTTTTAGGGATAATAGCATCAAAATGATTGAAAAAGCATTCCCTTGTGAGTATTAATAGACTTTTGAGTTCATCCACAGAAAGTACTTCTGGCTGCTTTGCTAACTTTCTCCTTTCTGTAAGACAACAAATCAATATGATTAACAATATAACTGTCATTTTAAAGCCTTGCAAGCTCATCTACTAGTCTTTTATGGGAAATATTTTCAAAAATAAAACAAATGAATCTCTCCAGCAAATCAACGTTCCTGGGTAGGCCTGTTTTCAATTTAGTCCCATTTGAAGGTAACGGTAGAATTTCCAGTTTTGTGAGATAAACAGAAATACAGTGACTTGTTAACACTAAAAGGTGACCAACGGTAAAGGCAAGTTTACGGAACTTTTCAGGAATACACTGCAGAGCATGAAGAACAGCCTTATGTTGGTGTTTATGTGAAAATAAAACCTGTAAGACTTTCAGTTAAATGTGGTGGTTTGGCCATTTCCATCTATTTCTTCTCCCACCCAAAACTTAAAATCACAACAGAGGAATAAAAGAGGACAACAAAAGAAGACAATAAATAGTGACAGTTTTCAACAAATTTTGGAAGATAAGATAATGCTGGAGTGGTAACTGAGAGTTTGCAGAGCAGAGGAAGTGTTAACTTGGGTGCCTGCAGAGGTATCAGGAAGGTCCTGAGCTAAAACAAGACTAGACACACATGGACGTTCTGTATCTAGCCTCCAGCCCTCAAGCCAGATGACTCTGCTCTCATTTTTTTGGGTAGAAACAGAAAAGGAGTCTCAGACTGCAGAATGTCAGGAACATTAAAAGGTGGTACTGATGCTGGAGTTACAACTAAGAGATTAAGTAAGAGTCTACATCCTGAAAGGTCAGACTCCAACCCTGGGGCCAGAAAGCTAGCAGCTACAAATGCCCCACTGAAAAGACTAAAGGATTCTCCTTTTCAAAAACTGAATGCCCCCATAGAAAAGAGCTTGATACTGACATTACAGTGGAATTAAGGATAGGAGCTCACAACCAAAATGTTAAGTAGCTACTCCACCACTCTTGAAGCTTCCCAGATATTACATTATAGTGAGACATAAAATTTCCCACTTAGGACAGACAGAAAAAAAATCACTAGACATCTAAAGAAAGGTACTGAGGGGAGAAGGGACTCTGCATTTCCATGGTCTTATGTTTAGACGTGTAAGGACTTTGATTCAGTAATGCTCCCAGCTCCCCTTTCCCTCCCATCACTCACTGAGCTAGTCTGGAGAAGAAACTAGGCACGTTCTGATTAAACCTTTCCTCTCCAACTTTCATCTGAGCTAGCAAGTTCTTAGGATACACACTCTGCAATGCAGTGAGGGCCCTGCCCGGTCAGGGTTGATCTGCAGGTGTCCCGCTCTGGCTATCATTCAGGGGCTAAATTCAATTCTGGGTATATGTAGAAGAAAACCCACCATAGATCTAAAAAGTCACATCCTTCAACTCAGTAATTTATCTGTAATTTATCTCCATCAGTGTGTTTCTTAAGTTTATTTCTCAATTGGTTCCAAATTTGGGAGAGAAAACAGGTATTATTTACTAGGCCCCTCCAAGCTAAAAAAAAGTCCAGGATGAAAAGGAGAGGCTAAAGCAAGCAAAAAGAAAACAGGAGCCCAGCAGAAATAAAAACATTCCAGGGAACAAAAGAAAACTTGCCATAATTAATACTCTCGTCGAAATAAGAGAAGATACTATACTCATGAAACAAATACAGGATGCTCTGATAAAGGAAGTCAATGAACAAGAAAATATTTTTTAAAATTAATCACATGAGAGCTCAAATTTTTAAAAGCTGCAAGACATCTCCCAGAAACTAGAACGAAGAGATAATAATATGGAAACAGGAAGGAAAAGCAGGCATTCTGTCCAAAAAAAGCTGACATATAACTAATTAGAGTTCTAGAAAGAAAAAAAGAAAATGGGAGAAAAAATTATTACAGACGTAAAAATTTTCAGACTTAAGAACGTGAATCTTCTGTTGATATGGCTCATCAAGTACACAGCTCAGGGCTTCCCTGGTGGCGCAGTGGTTGAGAGTCCACCTGCCGATGCAGGGGACACAGGTTCGTGCCCCGGTCTGGGAGGATCCCACATGCCGCGGAGTGGCTGGGCCCGTGAGCCATGGCCTCTGGGCCTGCGCATCCGGAGCCTGTGCTCCGCAATGGGAGAGGCCACAGCAGTGAGAGGCCCGCGTACCGCCAAAAAAAAAGAAAAAAAAAAATACACAGCTCAATACATTGGAGAGGGGGGGAAAGGGGAACACGCACATTATGATTCAGAGTAAAGCTTTCAGAGACAAAGCTTCTGGAGGTAAAAGTTCTAGAAGGGGTAAAAACAAACCAAAAATAGGCCACTTCAAAGGATAAGACTAGTATGAGATTTGTCAACAGGAACACAGCAACATAAAACACAATGGGATAGGGACTTCCCTGGTGGTCCAGTGGTTAAGACTCTGCTTTTCCACTGCAGGGGACACAGGTGTGATCCTTGGTCAGGGCTCCCGCATGCCGTGCCACGTGGCCAAAGAAAAAAAAAAAAAGACAATGGGACAATGTCTTCAAAATTCTAAGGGTAAACAATTTTTAACCTGGAAGTCTATATGGATTATCAATCTAGTGAAGATATTTTCAGACATGCAAGAGCTTGAAAAATGTATACCCCATGAATGAACTTTTACTCAGGAAGCTACTGCAAGATATGCTCCAACCAAACAAGAGGGGAATTCAAAGAAAAAGAGAGGACAAGGGGTCTAGAAAACAGGAGATTCCAAAAGAAGAGAAGAGGAAACAGGAGTCTCTTAAGATGTCAGTAGGTCTAAGGAAGCATTTTGTCTAAAATACAGTAAAATATGAAACACTCCAGAAAAAAAAAACTATGAGAAATAAAAAGGAACTACTGAGTTTGAACATGCAATAAATTTACTGATAGATGTGTGGCAGAAATGTTGGAGGCTCTGGGAAAACATAACAGTATTTTGCCTGTACAGAAGAATGGGCAAATTAAAAATAAGGTGATTATCAACCTTAAAAAAAAAAAAGATTATACAAGAAAGGAGAGTTGACCATCATCATATACTGCATGACTCAGCAGTAAACTTATACATAGGTACATAGGTAGGTAGGTAGATGGATAGCTAGACAGGAAGAGACAAAGGAAGGGAGGGAGGGAGAGAGAGAGAGGGAAACAAAGAAAGAAAGAAAGAAAGAGAGGGAGAGAAGGAGGGAGGGAGGGAGGGAAGGAGGAAGGGAGGGAGGGAGGAAGGAGGGAAGGAAGGAAGAGGGAGGGACAGAGGGAGGAGGAAATGTTAAAACTAACCATTAGTTTAACCCCAATTCATGATTTCACTGTAAAGGATGGAAAGGGAAAGGGAAGTTGATGTGAGAAAGCTAAGTATTCAGTTCCATAGTTAGGCATTAAGATAATGTCTAAAACTGGTAAATCAAGAAATAACAGCATACATATGTTATTCATAAAGCTGGAGGAAAGGTCAAGGAAAACCAGCCGGAAGAGCTGAGGGCAGCTGCCTGTGGACAGAGACAGAAAGATGGGGAGAAGGCAGGGCACTGCTGTTTTCCATTTTAGGTTTTTCAATAGCATTTGAAATTTTTAACTATACCCATGTACTACTTTTATAAAAATATTTCATTTTTAAAACACTTCTGAACTAATAACATTTTCTTCTATAATAAAATAGTGAACTATAAATTCGTAGAGAATTCAATTCAACAAATATTTATTGAGTATGTACTGTCTGCAAAGCACTGTGCTGTGCCCTTAGATACAGAGGAGTAAAGCATATTCCATCACACTGTGTAAGGCTGGCACATAAATAATACAAGGGAATAGCTGGACGCCTCTGTAAAAGCCCACCTCACCAACCTGGATGTTGCCAGGCTCAATCCAGTTCTGATCCAAAATAAGTAACACATGATTTCTGCAGTCAAGAACATTAGTAATGGTAAAGTAAGAGTTGTAATAAATGCTGCTTTTATTACATTTTCTTAGTGAAGATGAAGCTTCAGTTGAAGCTTTTTATTTTCTTACCATCTTCTGGGAGCCATCTAAAATGAAAAGTTGTCAAAGATTTGCTTTCATCTGAAAGATGCACAGTAAGTAATGTGCTACAGAAATTAGCCCCAAATTTTTATTAATGCTAAAAATATACTTAAATAATGAACCTGACCTATGCTTATTAAAACTGTCAATTATATTACAATAACGGGCAATCTGAAGAGCAGGATATGACTTCCTACTGACCTTGATGACTGGGCAATAGAGAGAGAAAACAGATAAGGTTTAATAGGGTTATGAGCAGGATAATTTACCTAGGTGAAAAATAATCTCTACACAAGTGAGTTTGCAACACAAGTGGCAGATAAAGATTTGGGAGAAAAATACTGGACTAAAGTCTAAAAACGAATTAGCAAAAGAATGCTTTTCCTAAGAAAGCTAGTAATAACTCAGGACTTAACTAAGAAAAATAGAGTGTAAAATATCTAAAAGTATCAGTAGATGGACCACCAATCAGGGCTGCACGGGGTTCTATAGATTTAAAAAAGATGTGGGAAACTCAGAGTAGTGACCACAATCCTGGAGCAAAATGTCAATACTGCTATTTTGGTATTTGTTTTGTATCACACTGAACAGTTTTTTATTTAAAAATTGTTCAGCATTCTTAAACCTTTTCTTTAAAAATCAGTGAAACAAGATACTTAATATTTCTAAATACAAAATTTATAAATTATAAAGATCAGGTAAAACATAAATTATAAAATTTATATATCATTCTAAATGTTTATATCTAAATATCTATACATCTATATCTAGATATAGTATGGAGGTTCCTTAGAAAACTAAAAATAGAGTTATCATATGATCTAGCAATCCCACTCCTCAGCATATATCCAGAGAAAAACAATTTGAAAAGACACATGGACCCCAATGTTCATTACAGCACTATTACAATAGCCAGGACATGAAAGCAACCTGCATATCCATCAACAGAGGAATGGATAAAGAAGATGTGGTACATATACAATGGAATATTACTCAGCCATAAAAAGGAACGAAATTGGGTTATCTGTAGAGACATGGATGGACCTAGAGACTGTCATACAGAGTGAAGTAAGTCAGAAAGAGAAAAACAAATATCGTATATTAATGCACACATGTGGAATCTGAAAAAACTGGTATAGACGATCTTATTTACAAAGCAGAAACAGTGACACAGAAGAAGAGAACAAACGTATGGATACCAAGGGGGAAGTGTGGGGGGATGAATTGGGAGATTGGGATTGACATATATACACTACTGATACTATGTATAAAACAGGTAACTAATGAGAACCTACTGTACAGCACAGGGAACTCTACTCAGTGTTCTGTCATGACCTAAATGAGAAAGAAATCCAAAAAAGAGGGTATATATGTATACATATAGCTGATTCACTTTACTGTACAGTATAAATTAACACAACATTGTAAAGCAACTATACTACAATGAAAAATATAAACAAATAAATAAAAATTAGATATAAATTTTAAGAATAGAATAAAAATAAATTATTCTAAAAAATTAAACCCTAACAGAAATTTTATTTGATTTTTGTGTTATTTTAAAACACAGAGTACCTCATTAATGTGAGTAAATTTTCATGCAGATTTTTCCAGTTGCTTGTTCTGATGCAGTATACTCAGATAAACAGTGGGGGAGATAAGAATAAGTTTACTCCATGTCTTATTGATAATTTTCAAAAAAAATTTGAACAACTTTTTGTTTTCCAGCAAAGACTACAATCTGTATTGATACTGAACTGTTAATTTTTTTCCCAAAGAAAACTTTTCCTATTATATCAGTTTTCATCATGTATAAATTAACTGTATCGATTTAAATATTTTTATATTTATATTCACTTCTTTGAAAATCACTGAAATAGACACTAAGATAGTCTTACGTTGGAAACTTCATTTTGTTGTCATTCTCCTCTGTCTTTAGAGATATTTGAAATCTAAACAGATGCATCTTTGTCCCCAGATTTTCAATTCATTATTAACTCTCTGGGTAGAGGAGAGATTGGTTAAGCAAATAATTGCATCATAAATAGATTAACTGGATCATTAATCTTAATCAAGATTTAATGCTCTAGATTACAAACTGGCTAGTACATGGATACCCCCAGAGCTGATGTCTCCAGCAGCTACTAGCTCTGAGGCTTCCTTCAACTTCAGGCCCCCTACTTGCCCTTGCCCAGTGCTGTGGCATCCTTACAGCTGCTGCCTGTTTTACAGCTCAGATGCTGGTAACTTCTACATTTTCAGCATTTATTTAGCACTTTCTTCCCCCTCCCCACCCCCAGCAGAGCTTCCAATCACAACTACTAGGCAACAACCTAATTATAATTATATTTCCCTTCCCAACCAAGCAGGAGGGATGGCCTTACTGGGCTTAACTCTTCTTACCCAAAGGAGAGATACACCAACTTCAGATAGCTGCCCATTCTTCCACTCTCACAGTTTTTCTGGTTGGAAGGGTAAGGAAGAGAGGTGAAGATGAAAGAGAGGGGAGATGTTGAAGGAACTCAGTTTAAAGAGCTGACAGAGGCTTACGGCAAAGAATCAAAGCCTAAAGGGGGTTTAGCAGGGCTAGAACAAAGTCAAGAAGTGAATAACACTAAGCTAGCAGATGTTAGAAATAAAGGAGTTTTATCCACAAAAATACTAGTATTTCAGCATTTTTTTCCTTTTTCTTTTTAATTGAAGTATAGTTGATTTACACTGTTGTGTTAGTTTCAGGTGTACAGCAAAGTGATTCAGATATATACATATAAATATAAATATAAATATATATATTCTTTTTCAGATTCTTTTCCATTACAGGTTATTACAAGGTACTCAATATAGCTCCCTGTGCTCTACAGCAGGGCCTTGTTGCTTACCTGTTTTATGTAGCGTAGTCTATATTTGCTAACCCACACTCCTAACTTATCCACCCCCCACCGCCCCCACCTCCCACCCCACGGTCTTCTTTAGTAACCGTAAGTTTGTTTTCTATGTCAGTGAGTCTTTCTGTTTTGGAAATAAGTTCACTTGTATCATTCTTTTAGATTCCACATGTAAGTTATATCATATGGTATTTATCTGTCCCTGTCTGACTTACTTCATTTATTGTGGTAATCTCTAGGTCCATCCATGTTGCTGCAAATGGCGTTATTTAATTCTTTTTTATTGTTGAGTAATAGTCCACATCCTCTTTATCTATTCATCTGCTGATGGACATTTAGGTTGCTTCCATGTCTTAGCTATTGTAAATAGTGCTGCTATGAACGTTGGGGTACATGTATCTTTTTTTTTTTCTTATTCTAGTAAAATAGCTTTACAGTGTTGTGTTAGTTTCTGCTGTACAATGAAGTGAATCAGCTATATGTATAACTATATCCCCTCCCTCTTGGACCTCCCTCTCCCCCTTCAGTTTCCACCTTTTCCAGATACATGCTCAAGAGTCAGATTGCTGGATGATATGGTAACTTTATTTTTACTTTTTTTCCCTTGGGTTAATATGTAGTACCTTTTATTGAAACTAATTTGCCTTTCCTAATTATACGTTCCTTGAGCTAATATCATTTTCATAGTTAAAAAAAAGTGGTTCAAGGAGTTTAAGACTACACAATTACCTTTGTACAATTGAAAAAGTAGATAATTCTTATATGAATAATCAAGACCAAGTATTCTAAAATTATTTTCCATTGAATAAAACAAAATACTGAATCCAAGGTATTTTTTAAATGCTTTTAAAGAAAAGAGTGGGGCTTCCCTGGTGGCTCAATGGTTGAGAGTCCGCCTGCCGATGCAGGGGACGTGGGCTCGTGCCCTGGTACAGGAAGATCCCACATGCCACGGAGCGGCTGGGCCCGTGAGCCATGGCCACTGGGCCTGCACGTCCGGAGCCTGTGCTCCGCAACAGGAGAGGCCACAACAGCGAGAGGCCCGTGTACCGCCAAAAAAAAAAAAAAGTGATCTATTTTTCATTTTATAATGTATCTACTTAATAATCATTTTTTCTATATGTAACTAATGAGGCCTCACAATTTGAATTAGTTTCTTAGAAATTCTATATCAATTAGCTTAAAATAAGTCCAGATTAGGTACTAATGAATGATTATTTATAAAAACAATGTTAAGACTGATAACCAAGTTAACATTTAGTAATAGAGGAAAAACCTTAAATAACGACCCTTAAAAAAGTGTCAATTTCTTGAATAAAGAAAAATCCATAGTGCCAACTTCACTCAGTATGTGAAATGTGCTTAGTTATGATTAAAGTCTAAGGATCAATGCTCACGTTAACATATTAATTTCTCTAGATTTGTATTTTCTTCTATTTGCAGTCTCTATCCTCCAGTATAGCCAAAAAGATATAAAGAGAAATTTTGTAAAAATTACTACATTAACCAGAATAATAAAACTTAGGTGTCTTTTCTAGCATACAGTTAAAAATAATGAGAAACAAAATTTTCCTGGACAAATATTATTATAAATGTTAAAAGCAATGTACAATAGCAATATACTGAATCTGGTGGGGAAAAAGTTACAGACCTTTTCTACCCTACCTCACCTCTATCAAGAACAGCTCTACAGGGACTTCCCTGGTGGTGCAGTGGTTAAGACTCCACACTCCCAATGCAGGGGGCCCAGGTTCGATCCCTGGCCAGGCAACTAGATTCCCGCATGCATGCTGCAACTAAGAGTCCACATGCCACAACTAAGGAGCCTGCATGCTGCAACTAAGGAGCCTGTGTGCTGCAACTAAGGAACCCACGTGCCACAACTAAGGAGCCGGCAAGCCGCAACTAAGACTCAGTGTAACAAATAAATAGTTCTACAAATGAATATCATATCTAAAAGACAAAGTGTATAAGAAAAAGTGACAAAATAACAATGCCTTAGGTCTGAACAAGTCAATATTCCTACACCAGAATCAAATGCACCAATCATTACTTACTCAGACATTCTTTCAAAGCCAAAGCCTGAACATTAGCTAACTGTTTCTCTCTCTGTATAAGCTGCTCCCCAGAGAAATTTGGAAGTGACAAAAGGTCAAGAGGAAAGCCTGAAAAACAGAAAAAAGTCAGTATTTAAGACGATTTGTAACAAAAATCAATATTCAGTCCTCAAGAAATGTGTTATAACATAATTAAAAGTCAATTACTCATCTTTCTTGACCTTGCATATTTCAAAGTAAATAATAATAATTGAGCAGCAGAAAATAAGTGTACTAAATTATTTTGCATTTTAAACTTTGACCTCCTTCTTAAATTGAGAGAATTTAGGTAGCAGAATAGAATTCCTTCCACCACCTTTTCTTCTACCTGCTTGGCTCTTGAAACTCTTACACAAAACACAGACAGAGTATGGGAGCTGGTCTCCAAAGATGGCTTCCCAGTGAATCACACTTCCTGCCACTCATTCGCCGTGCAGTCCTTCCACAGTGAATCTAGGTTGGCCTCACGTAACTAATAAGGTGTAGTAAAAGTGACAATGAATGGCTAGGTCACAGGAAGCCTTATAGCTTCTTAGAACAACTGCTCTAAGAGCAGTTAGCAACCATAGAAGGAATCAGACTCCCCAGAGACCATGATGTTATGAGGAAGCCCAAGTTGGCCAGGAGGACAGGTCACGTGAAGAGGAAGTAGGCTCGCATCTGTTCCAGCCATCCTAACCCAGGCACCACGCGTGCGGGTTAAGAGCCATCTTACACACCAAGCCCTGTTAAGTCTTCAAAATGATTGAAGCCCCAGCTGTGTGTGACTGCAGTCATATGTGGATCTTCAAAACAGAAACATCCAGCTGAGCCCAGTCAACCTACAGGACTATGAGACATTATAGTAAATCGTCATTATTAAGCTGCATTTGGGGTAGTTCGTCATACAGTGATACGTAACCAAAGCATGGAGCTTGGAGAGAAAAATAAAAAGATGGGCAATAAAATAGAACGAGACGCTTGAGAGAAAGTAAGTGAAAATAAGAAATAAATTCTAGAAAAATAATACTTGTTTAAAGTGGAAAACACTAAAAATTTTCCTATTTGGAATTGAAGGCTGGCCTACTAAATTTTACTAAGTACAATGTATAAGGGGTTAATTCTCTGCACTCTAAACTGTCCAAATATGTTATAAAATATTTAAAATAAAAGTAAATTTACTGAAAGTGAAATGGAGTTTGGAGACAATAAGTTCATTAAAAGTTAAGTATGTACACAAAGAAATGTAAAAATGTTTTGTTTTCCACCTAAAGTTAACACTTACTCAGTTTGGTCTCTTCTGTCTTTGCTTTCATCTTTCCATGAATTAAACTGAGTGCAAATGAGCCATTGATTTGGTTGGCTGAGTGAATCAATGTGGCTTTACACTTTCTGTTGCCATTACCTTGTAACAAGAGATAATAGCTAGAACTCTCTCCTTTCACTTCAACATCTGGAACTAAACAAAAACAATTATTTTGTTAAGTATGTGAAAATTCAGCAGACAACATAGCAGAATCATACATTTGATCCATAGGATATAATGACATGTCTATGTTATTTCAAAACAAGGTGTTACCCAATACATTGGGGGCAGTAGTTGTTCATTTAACTGAGGAAGCTGTTAAACCAGAGAATCATAACAAAAATGATACTCACAAAGCATATACGTTTTACTTTACATTAATGTAAAGTAAAATTTACATATTTACTTTAAATTAAAATTTACATATTTACTTTAAAATTTACATATTTACTTTAAAATTTACATATTTACTTTTAAAATTTACATATTTACTTTAAATTAAAACTATGTGTACTCATTCATTAACTTTTGATGTGGCTTATTAGCATTCCATATGTCTTTCCTATATATCCACACCCGTAACATATCAACTACTATTTCCAGCCTCTCCTTCTTTAAAGTGGAACAAACTGACGCCTGCAAGCACACACAGCTCAACTGTGGGAGCAGAAGTGTACAGATATACTTAAGGGTAGCTTTTTGGTCCCTGCAGTGTGCATCCATAATGTATTTTACAGGAGGACTGGAGAGCATTCATTAATCTGGCTTGCCAGAAACGTGAAGGTCAGTTAAGACAGTGCAGTGCATTTTAAAAACAAATCAAGTGAGGGTTACAGTGAAGGTTGAGGAAAAACTGTGAAGCCTTTGAGACTAAAGATAGAAGTAGAATCCCTTTTGTTGAAGATGGTGAATTGGACATAAGCATTTATTTTCATTATCTCCTGAAATTCCATGAAATGAGAATAAATTTTAAAATAGCATAAAACTACAAGAACCAATGTCTGAGAGAAGAGACAATAGCAACTAAACCTTGAAAGCAGGAAAGCAGATGAACAAATGGTAACAGACCTCAGTCTCTCAATTGTTAAGGAAGCTGAGAAAAACAATAGGGAAAGCTTGGAAGCAGCAAAATTTATACTATAGCCCCTGACAAGAGACTCTGGGATGGCACTGCAAACAAAATGAAGGTGAAATAGGAAAGGAGGTTGAAAGTCTACCTGAGAAGCAGTTTGGCTCCTGACCTCTTCTTATTCTATTCAGGCAAAAGATTGTCCTCTCCCCAGCCCAGAAGACTAGTGGTTATTCTCTGGAGAAGGTAAAACAAAATGCCTCTGGCCTGGGAGATACAGGACAGAGTTTAGGGTTGGAGTTGAATATCACTGCATTAAGTGAATGCTTGTATAGTGAATATTGAGGCCCTTTACCTTTCTTCACCTACATAACTTCCACCATTCTGGAAGCCAGATAGCAGAATTGAGCCTTCTTTTAGAAATACGGTCAGTACTAGGGGAAGGACCAAAGAATTCCAACCTTGGGATTGCCTAATGTCTCAGTGAGATCACCCTAAAATGAAGATCGAAGTCAACAAGCTCCAAACATGCGCTCAGATTTTCCAATCAGCTTTCTCATACCCCCTCTTAAATAGGACCAGGCAGCCAAACACTATGGGACGTCAGGGAAAGTCTCTAGTATGAAAACCATATGGCAAAGCAAGCAAACAGAAACAAAGTGACTTGTAGGGAAGCAAAGAATATACAGTAAAAAGAAATCATAAAACAAAAGCAAACAACAGATAAATCAGGCACTAAAATCCTCAGAGAAGAGACTATATTGCATCCATTAAATAAGAACAGGAAATTGTAAGAAAAGAACACTAAATAAGAAAGAGCTCATGGAAATTAAGAAAGCAGAAATATATATTTCAACTAAAAGGTTAGCATATAAAGTTCAGTGAATCTATCAGAAAGTAGAGTAAAAAGTCAAAGAAATGGAAAATAGGAAGAGAGACACACACAAACCATGAGGAACAACATTCTACCAGGAATATTAGAAGAGAGAACATAAAAAAATGGAGGGAAGGAAATTATCAATAAAATAATGATAAGAACATTTTTCCTGGGAATACCCTGGCAGTCCAGTGGTTAGGACTCGGCACTTTCACTGCTGGGGGCCAGGGTTCAATCCCTGGTCAGGGAACTAAGATTCTGCAAGCTGTGCAGCACAGCCAAAAATAATAATAATAATAATTTTTTTCCCAATAAAAAGACAAGCTTCCAGGCATGCTAGAATAAAATAGACACACCAAAAATAAAAATAGACCCACCAAGGTGCATCATCATGAAAATTCAGAAGACTAAGAAGAACAAGTATATTCTACAAAATACCAGAGAAAACTTAGGTTTCTTATTTAAAAAATTAAAAATGAGAATGGCACAAGACTTCTAAGTAGCCTCACTAAAAGCTGGAAAACAATGGGACAACTGGGAACAATGGGAACAATGCCTTCAAAATTCCACTGGAAAAATATTCTCCAACCTAGAATGCTATATTCAAATGAGACGGTAGAATAAAAACTTTTCCAGGCATAGAGGGTCTCAAAAATTTCCCTCCTATGCACCTTCCCTCCTATGCACCTTTTCTCAGGATGATTTTAGAGAATGTGCTCCACCAAAATGGGAAAATGAAAAAAACAGGAAGATTAAAGGATCCCAGGAACCAACAAAGAAAGCAAACAAAATTTCTATGATGAAAAGAGTCTTAGATCCAAAAGCTATGGAACAAATCTGGAAAGTAAAACCAACCAGTCTAGATTAGGCAGGTCATAAAGATCCAGAAGAGATTTCTTACATATACATGATTGATAGGATGGTTAATATGCTTTAATGTACTGAAAGGAGTTTCACAACTAGGGGAAGGTTTTGTGATTGAATTTTTTAAAAAAATCATTAACTCTAGGTAAAACAAACTATTGTACAGGAAAGAAAAATAAAATATAGTACATGGCTCAACTGTGAATAATGATTAGATCATAATAATTAAAACAATGAACATTAATCTAAAATTACTATATGATCATTCTGGGAGGACTGAGAAGAAAATGTGAAATGAGGAAGAATGTAAAGGAAATGAGAAGAATGTCAGTGTGTAGTAAGGGCAAAGTGAAAAAGGATTCATACTTCTCAGTGTGGGAACTTACTATAAAGCTACAGTAATCAAGACAGGGAGGCACTGGTATAAGGACAGACATACAGATTAATAGAATAGAACTGAGAGTCCAGAAATATGCCCTCACATTTACAGTCAAATGGTTTTCAATAAAGGTGCCAAGAAAATTTGATGGAGAAAGAACAGTCTTTTCAAAAATGGTCTTGGAATAACGGGACATCCATATGCAAAAGAATGAAGTTGGACTCTTACCCCCTACCTCCCAATATGTAAAAAAAAATAATTCAAAATGGATCATAGATGTAAATGTAAGAGGTAAAACTTTAAAATTCTTGGAAGAAAACAGACAAAGGCATAAGTCTTCGTGACCCTAGATTAGGCAATCATCTATTAAATATGAGACCCGAAGTACAAGCAACAACAGCAAAAAAAAGAAATAGAAAATTGGATTTCATGAAAATTAAGCATCTTTGTGCTTCAAAGCACATCATCAAGAGAATGAAAAGTCAATCCACTATGGAGTTTGGGTGATAAATGTGTCAATGTAGGCTCATCAATTGTAACAAATGTACCACTCTGATGTGTGATGTTGATAAGGGGGGAGGTTATACGTGTGTGGGGACATGGGCTATATGGAAATTCTCTGTACTTTCCACTCAGTTTTGCTGTGCACCTAAAACTGCTCTAAAAAAATAAAGTTTATTAATTTAAAAAAAAGTATCCATATGACAAGGCTGCTGTTAGGATTAAATGTGAGACGTTGCATGGAAAGTGCTTAGATCACTGCCTAAAGTATTCTAATTGCTCAATAGTACCAATTAAAAAAAAGTCAACCCATGAAATAAGGGAAAATTTTTGTAAATCACGTATTTTATAAGGGATTTGTATCTAGAATATATAAATAACTCCTACAACTCATAACAAAGAGACAACTCAAAAAGTGGGTAAGGAGTCTGAATAGGCATTCCTCCATAGAATATACAAATGGCCAATGAGCATGTGGAAAGAGTGGAAAGATTCTTAACATCATTGGCCAATACAGTCACGTAAATCCAGACCACAAAGAGATACCACTTCACATCCCTTGGATGACTATAATCAAAAATACAGACAATAACAGGTGTTGATGAGGATGTACAGAAACTGGAACCCCCGTAAATTGCTGCTGGGAATATAAAATGGTACTGCCACTTTAGAAAACATTCAGGCAATTCTTCAAAAAGTTTAACATATAGTTAATATACAATCCAAAAATCCCATTCCTAGGTTTATATCTAAAATAATTTTAAGCATATGTTCACACAAAAATATATACACAAGTATTTATAGCAGCATTATTTATAATAGCCCCAAACTGTCAAACACTTCAACTGATGTGTGAATAAATAAAATGTGATATATCCAAATGACTGAAATATTATTCAGCAATAGAAAGACATGAAGTACTATACTACAACATGGATGAACCTTGAAAACATTATGCTATCCTTGAAAGAAGGCAGTCATGAAAGACGACATACCGTATGACTATGCTTAGATCAAGTGTCCAGGCAATCTACACAGACAGAAATAGATTAGTGCTGCCTATGGGCTGGGAAGAGAAGCAGGTGATGGGAATCAGGAGTAACTGCTAATGGGCGTGGGGCTGCTTTCTGGGGAGAAGAAAATGTCCTCAAATTGATTGTGGTGATGGTTGCACACTCGTAATCCATCCTGTAATAGACTAAAAACCATGCAATTGTATTTTAAATGGTTCAATTGTATGGTGTGTGAATTATAACTCAATAAAGCTGAGGTTTTAAAATTTATAATGATTTTAGGAATGTAAGGTTCTGCTCACTAAAAAAGTTCTTAGCGTTTTGAGATATATACATAATATATATGTGTGTATTTATATACAGTATATATATAGTATGTGTGGGTACATATATATATATGCTAAGAAAAAATCTACTGTAACTTTATTACAACAGTTTATTTCACAGATA